CCTAAAGGAACTGAGCTCGTTTGGGAAAAATAAAAGTTGTATAAATGTGGAAAGGAAAGCAGAGCAGTGAAGGAATCTGCTAGATAGACCAGAGCACAAAATGCAATCTCTTGGCAACAGCATAGGGGACAGAATATCGTAATAATACTGTTCCAGCATCATATGACGGTGACGAAGTGGGCATCACATCGTGATTAAAAACATTGAGGACTTCCATCAAAAACTTACAGTCATTTATAATCCTGAAGGAACAATCTGAAATTTTAAGCTTAAATGAGGTTAAAAGATTATATTCAATTATTATACATGTTTGAAAAAAATACAAAGAAAGCACATTTTCAAAAGGCCCTTAAATCTAAAGACAGACAAATGCTTACAATGCCTTAGAAAAGGATGAATAAAAGTCTTTTTAATCTGAGTTTTCTCCTCATTCCAGATTACACTATTCAAGCATTTTTTAGTTATGAAAGCCATTTTAAATGACTAAAAGTAGCCTCACATCCCCTTGCACCATATCTTCCCAACAAATAAGAACAAGTACAGTTAAATTTAGATGGAGACTAGAGCAATCTGTTGGCTGGGGCTTCTAATATGTGTATTCAAATTCTGTAAATTGTGACAAATTCCGCCCCTGAGGTAGGTGCTCAGCTCACCTTAGGGGTTTCCAAGTCTCATGTATGTGCTTAGATATATTGCAACAGTAAGAGGTAAGAGATTAGGCTCAACTTCCATTTTTGATTCTTTATTGCAGGGTTAACTTTGCAAGGAGAATCAAGCAGTGTGTCTTGTTCTTTATTATTTTATAATATTCACTATTAAAAAGTGGACTTGTTTTATCAATTACTGTGTAGTAGCATTGTTGGATACTACCTTTCTTTTCTCCTCTAGCTATAAGGAAGTCATGCATTGTACCTGAGGGGTAAATATTTGTTTAGCATATTTTGTATCTCGTACCTGTAAGGCAGTACTTGTATACAGTGAGACTAGTTACTGTTATAAACCTTATTTCCTTTTGTAAGTTGAGAGCCTTACAGTGTTTGTACCTACTTCAACCAAGAGAAAATTTAGCTTTTATATTTTTGTTTATTTTTGTAAATTAAATTAATATTTTTTTCAGTTTATTCTACTATTAATGCTAGTAAAAACTAAAGCTGTTCTGCTTGGAGACAAATTGTCGATTTATCTTGAAGTATGCTAGAAATACTTAAAAAATAACATGGGAATAAAGGTGCTAGCAAGATACTGGATAGAACAGGGGTTTTTTGACAGGAATTTAAAAATAGTTTATCCTGACTTTGCATGCTTTTCTCGTTAACCCATGCATCTGAGAGTGTGCATATGCAGTCTTATAAAATTGACAAAGTACATATTAAAACTTCAGAACCTTGTCATACTGTCTTTTACAAAATTCCTCACCAATAAAGTAGATACTGATACTGTTTTTTATTGCTATTTTGCATTAGATACATATTCAGAACATAAT